AGCCACCTAACCATAAGTAAGTCACCTAAAAAAGGCCTTCCATAGATATCCTCATAGGATGACTTTTGCCATAGTTGCCACGCCTGCGTGAAAATATGTGTTATGCTGGTTGGCCACCGCAGTTATTTATTATTTTAAGTTTTCATCGGGAAATTGCTGCTGTCCCATCACCATCTTGTATTATTGCTTACGACGCGGGGTAATATCATCCCGTGTACTTGTCGCACTCAAGACACTAACTTAGCAAAACATGCAAGAAATCGCGGGAGTAGGCTCATAACCGTGTTTGTACTACAAAACCTAAGTGAAACCCTTTCCTTTCGAAGGTCTGTGTTCAGCACTGAACTTGTCATGGAATGGTATGTTAAAACATTATTGTTTCTTTTTTGTAAAAACAACAAAACTCGACACAAGGAAATTTTTGTTTATTATTTAATATTTTTATTCTCAATTAATATTTAAGTACATACATAACATATTGTTATTTATTAGCGATATCACACTTTGTACTATTAGCGCCTTCACTTAGTGCCGTCGAAATCCAAAGAGTTATTGAATGTCCAGTAAAAAAGTCGATGCGCCGTTGAATACAGAATGATGATTCTGTTTTTACGCCGGTTCCGCCCGTAGTTTTTAGTCACAGAATGTATTTTCAAGAGAAATTAATTAATCATCTGAATTATAAAAGACAATTTTTTTATGGTAACAATTAAGTTTTTTGTATGAATGTAAGTGCTGTTAATATAAATAAACCCATAACGGGGGAAATGGAACAATATCTGGTAACCCAGTGAAAGTACCTCCCGCCTATTTCTATCTCAAAAGCATACGCGAATGCTTTATCTAGTCCATCCTCCATCTACGGAAATAGAGCTCACTAGAGATGAGTCGTACTAGGTAAATTTTGTACTAGGTGCACCTAGTCCAATTCCGTACAAATACTTGATCCAAATACCTGTTCCTCCTAGTCCATGAAGTATGCATAAAGATTGGTATTGTTGGAATAGGGTACACTTTAAAGTATGCTTAGTCTTTGCGTACCACCGATACGTGTACGTATGCAGTAATGAATTGTAATCTTCCCTTCATAATTTACACAGGCTTAGGACTGTCTACGTAAAGATTTATCTACATTATAGATTGTTGCCGTATTTAAAAGATTTCAATTCATTTTTTCAAAGTAATCAGTTATTGTCTGTTTTTAGTTTTTTTTCATTTTTTTTAAATCACCTACCAACAATAATTATTTTACATATATACGGAGAAAATCAGCCTCATGAATTTTGATTTAAAAACATTAATTGTTGAACTTTTCGAGTCCCTAGCCTCGTTCTCCTGTCATTAAGTAACAATCCACAGGAGGAAAATAATCTTTCACAGGGGACACTCGTGGCCATTGCATTTAACTTTTTGAGTGCTAGGGCATACAAATGCGGGTATACATCCTTCCGCTTTTTCCACCACTCTAGTGGTGATATATTCTCACACGGCAACACAACTTTTTAACAGTGGTAGAGCCACGCGGCAGCTTTTGCTGTCGCACGGATGGGCCGGCTCGAACCGGGGTGGTACCACGACCTCACAGAAAACCAGCGTGAAGTAGAGGTTTACCTCTGCGTTTTGCTTGGTGAGTGCAGGTGGCCGGAGGCCCTTTTTACTGGAAATGAGGCATTCCATCTTAGTCCTCACGGGTGACAACGCATCTACATTTTGATTTGTAATAGAGGATAGATGTAGATGTCTATGGGCCGCAGCAACCACTTACCATCAGGTGGACTGTGTGCTCGTTTGTCATCCTTATCCTATAAAAAAAAACTTTATCGTCCAAATATCTTTGCACTTCTTAAATTGCTCGAGAAGTTACCGTGCCCTTGGGTTGTATATTTTTCATTTTTTCGGTATAATGCTGCCATACTAAATTAATTTGAAGCTGAGGTGGAGGATTTGCTGCTTGATCTGATAGCTGCTGCTCTTCGTTTTGAATTTGGGAATTATTTCGATTCTCTTTATTTATAATTGTTGTAATCATTTCTATGATTCTTTGTTTTGTAGTGTCAGCTACATAGTGATCTTCAAAATACAATTTGAATCTGGGATCCAGGAACATACATGTAGTAAATGTGCCGCTTTTGTCTAAATGTATAAATCTATTTTTTATAGCGGCCAGCAAGTCTTGTTGTAATTTTTGGGCGGTGTCGAGGTATGTATTACTATTAATATTTTCTAAAGATTTAACTAACCCTGTCGTTATAGGTATCACTAAACTTTTTGTTACATATTTTTGAGCACTTACTTCCCTTGTAACTTCTTCACATGGTTTTAAAATGTTGCAAATGTGTTCACAAAGTTTCCATTCAACTGCAGTTAAGGACATGCTAATGGCGTTTAAGTTAGAGAGCGCACTATTAACCTCTTCTATTAATTCTACGAATCTCTGCAAGATGTAGAATGTAGAATTCCACTGCGTGCTTACACATTGTAGAGGTCTTTTAGGAGATTTCCTAGCCTGTTCCTGGTATTTTTTTGATTTTTCCCATGCTTGAGCGGATCTTTTTAAGTAAGCAACAGTAGTTTTCACCTTATTAAGTATATCAACTAATTTTTGTGTTGCACATAATGCTTCTTGGACAGCTAAATTTAGCGTGTGTGCATAGCAACCAAAATGCTTCCAGCCTAAATCTATCATGGCTTTTTTAATATTGGCGCCGTTATCTGACACTGCTAACAAAAATTTTCCTGACACTTTCCATTCCTCTGTTATTCGTGACAGTTCCATAGCTAAATTGGCACTGGTATGTAATCCCTCTAAAAGTACACAATCTAACAAGATAGATTTTAAAGTGCAGTCATTTTTATTGATATAATGACCAGTAATACCCATGTACGAGTCGTTTGTACTTTTTTTTAAATCTTTATTTTCAAAAAAGGGGTTTTGTCACACAGTGACTATGTCACCCTCGTAAAGTATACACAAATAATGACAGGAAATTAACGATTGAAGACACAATAATATCGACAGTAATACAACTACATACAATCAAATTAAATTTAACGACAAAAATATATATTATGTTGCAATTCAATCCGGTGATATGATTACACTCATAGGTGGATAATATTACATCTTTCTAATCTCATATTATATTACATATAAATAGAGTTTGATTAGCATTTTTGCCTCTTGACAAAGTGGGGAGGATAGAATAGAATTGCAAATGCCTACATTGTGATTATGCAAAAGTGACATATCTTGCCTATGTTCCTCGTTCCGAACACACTCCGTCAAAACATGGTGCACATCTTCTACAATATCACACTCTGAGCAGTTAGGGGAATCTGATATTCCCATCAGATATCGGAACTTATTTGACAGGATGTGTCCTGAACGAAGTCTTAAAAGCGCTACAACATTCTTCCTACTTATTTCATCGTTTGTACTTGATGTCCATATATCCACTGTAATGGAAATCAATTCAACATCATTTGCGACTTCCGTCATTTTTGAAGTTCGCAAACTTTCATAGCGACTTGGTAATAAATTGTTTGCAAAGTACTTACGATTCGGAATAACATAAAAAGGAAAAGCAGACTGAATTAATTGTCTAAAACCTCTATCTTCTACAATACGGAATGGTTGAAAGTCCATAATAAATAAATCCATTAATAACTTATCTATATCAGATTTACATTTATCAGCATTTTTTTTATATATGTATGAAGCTATAGTTCTCGAACCTGGTTGTACTAATCGTACCAAGTTAGTGGACGGACGTTGTTCACCTTCAGGTTGTTGAACTATTCCAGCAGGTTGGTTTGAGGTTGACGATTGCTGGTTGGTCTGGGCTGCTATCACTGAAGCTGGAACATAGTTCCTTCTAACTAAACTTACGAATGGATGTTTACGTTTAAGGTGCTTTGTAAGGTTTGATACAGAACTTTTAAAACTCAACTGTATTTTACATATATTACACTCGGCCATTTGTTGGCCTTTGTCCGTAAAGTGATCCCAAGCGACACTAATTACTTTGGGAGCCATTTTTATAAACAATTAACACTTTAATGTCTTAATAAAAAATAAAATAAAAAGTTATTTAACTACTTAATAACACTTAACTTAACTATATAATATAACTTAAATTTATAATATAACTTTAATTTATAACCTAACTTAACTTTATACTTATTATCTCTTAACTTTGTTATGAAAACCAATTCTTATAAATAAGTCCAATACGCGTATACGATTGCAAGGTCGAGTACCTAGTTACTGAGCCGGCGTCCACTGAGATCATATTCGCATGAGTTGGTTTGGTTGAAGTCCCGAGTAGACTAGTCTCAAACTCTCAAATAATAAAAGACAAAGATAGAAAGACTGCGGAATAGTGCAGTTAAAAAAGGACAGAATATTATATTTTTGTACAACACGAGTGCGCGTCGTGTGACTTTTTTGGACATTGAAATATGGTTCAAATTCAAATGGCTGATACACGAATGATTTAAAGTGAGCGGCAAAGCATACTAGTAACTATGGCAACCAATTGCGATCTCGGTTCGCCGCGCCGGTTCTTCATGCTTCAGTACCGTGAGACTTCCCTATATAACATTGTAGTCTGCGTGAAACGCGTAGGCACAGTGAGACTAGGTGGATCAAGTCTTTTAAAAATTGGAACAGGTGCAAGCTAGTCTCCTTTAATACCTAGTGCCTGGACCTGTTCTAGTATATACGCTTCATCTCTAGAGCTCACGTCTCCAGTGCACTGTTATTTACTGGGACGTATTTTTTGCGCCGACCCGATATCTAGTTGGTATTGTTGATCGAAGGTATAAATGGGCATAAATGAAGTGAATATGGAATATTAGCATATCAGAATCCGTTGGATTACTGATCTATAAATCCACCTAATATTACTAATATCTTAACGAATACGAATATATCGGTTACATCTTTAGTTCTAATCATAATAATAAAAAACAACTGTCAAACTGTCATTAACAATATCATGGCGGAGGATGAAGATGGTGTTTCAAATAAAAAATCGCCACAAAATTCAAACAATGCAGAGTGCTCGCAAGAGAGCGAACAAAATACTACAAAGCCAGACCTAGGTATCGAAGAATCAAAGTACAATAGCAAAGAAAATGGTCATGCGTCGCCTTCTGAACCCAATTGTTCCTCGTCTAGTGAGTGTTATATGAAATTGTTTTTTATTTGCTAAAAATGTATGTCTATTAAATACAATCGTATTTGCAGAGTCCACTGGAGCAGTGCGAAAGGAAGAAAACCCATTTTCCTTTCGACATTTTCTCAAACGGGATCTGTCGTTGCCAGGCAACTCAACATACGAGAATACAGGTGCTAGACCTAAGGTTTATGCGAACACAGTGCAACATTCGCCTACTAAAATTGATGTTCACGCGGACTCTAGACGGGACAAAAGTCGTTTGATCGATAACCAAACCAAAGAAAAAACAAGCGAGGGCATTAGCCAACGCGTGAGTGATAATACGCCTTCAAATAGTTCTATGGACGTACCGTTTAGTGTATTAGGAAATTCAAATTCTAAAAATAACCTTTATTCAAACAATTCTGATGCACCCTTCTATCACAGACCAAATTTGGCTTCAGAACCTATGGGTATGCCTTCATTGCCTGATTTTGTTCAAGATCACATTTTAGTGGAGCAGGCTTATTTAAACTCAAATGGACCCATGTCATTAGATTTGGATAATTTGCCTGACTTCACATTCAACACTAATTTCAATACTGGATCCTCTTCTTCAAGCAGGAGAAATGAAAACAACTATAGTGGAAATAGAGGCTATAATTATGAACGATATATGGGAGCATCCACATCATCTGAACCAGGGCCCTCTAACCGTAATGTACCCTTAGATTTACCAGCCAGTGCAGAGGCTGCGGGTCCTGTACCAATAGATCATCACATGCACCTTAGCTTGGATCTCACTGAATCTGTTAACCCATCAGATAGAAGAAATATGTCCCCAAGAAATACTTTCCCCTTGGATCTGCCTCCGAATGCAGGTAATTAAATGATTCCTAAAGGAACTTGTAATATCAGTTTTTATGTAATTAATTTTTAATATGTAGTTATTTACAATTTATAAAGGTAGTTTTTTGACATTGATTATTGGAAATTAAAATATTTATATTAAATATTTAATTCTTAAAAATACAGCTATATATATATAGGCTGTATTTTTAAGAATCACTGCTGGCCACAGGCTTCTTATTTATACAAGTATGTTGGCAAAATTCACATGTCTTTGTAATTATTTATTCCTTTGACTTGCAGCTTTCCTAAATGATCTTTACCTTAATTTAATTGGTACTGGTAGAGATTGAACTCTGATTAATTGTGTTCTGTGAAATTTACAGTGAGCGCTTAGTGCCTTAGCTTGCATGGCTATTAAATTATTCAACTAATTTAACTATTATTTGGCTATAATAAGCAATTGTAAAGTAATTATTAGTATAATTTATGCAACATTTTCTATTGTTTAACACTTGGTCAAAGTGCACATTTTGCATACTGGCAGAAAATAATTCTTTAAAATACTTGTCTGAACAATAACTAAAAGTTTCAGTTAATGTAATTGTTATCTTCAAACTCAAAAAGCTGGCTACTGCTTTACTTGTGCTTTTTTTTTTTTTTTTTTATAGGATGAGGGTGACAAACGAGCACACAGTCCACCTGATGGTAAGTGGTTGCTGCGGCCCATAGACATCTACATCTATCCTCTGTTACAAATCAAAATGTAGATGCGTTGTCACCCGTGAGGACTAACATGGAATGCCTCATTTCCAGTAAAAAGGGCCTCCGGCCACCTGCACTCACCAAGCGAAACGCAGAGGTAAACCTCTACTTCACGCTGGTTTTCTGTGAGGTCGTGGTACTACCCCGGTTCGAGCCGGCCCATCCGTGCGACAGCAAAAGCTGCCGCGTGGCTCTACCACTGAATAAAAATGCTATAAATGGGTTTGTCTTATATGGGGATTCTTTTATGTCATACTAGGTGTCTTAGTGTACCATCTAGTGCAGAGTAGTAGGTTTTTATGTGGATAGATAGGTAGTTTTTTTGTAGTAAGCCAGGATGTAGCACGAATGTTTCAGCTCAACTGGAGAAGTACTATCCTATAGAACTATAGTTTAATGCTGCTGTGTTTCATATGGTGAGTGTAGAGAACCAGATACCATTTTTACTCAGTAATAGATGTATATGTCTATTTGCCACAGCATCCATTTACTATCAGGTGGACTGTGTGCTCGTTTGTCACACTTATTAAAAAAAATCTTGGGGTAGTTCTTGATAACAAACTTAGCTTTATAGAACATATAGATTTAATACTTAGCCAGTAAAGTTAAAAGTTGTGAGACATTCCATATTACTCTTCTGAGGTGTTAATGTAACTAGCTTTCATTACTTGACTACCACTTTTAGTATAGGAGGTGACAATGGATTGACTAAACTGTGGTTAGGATGGCTGATTTAGTATCAATAGCATGTAAATCACTTATGTGTATGGTATGGACCCGATTTCAAGATAATAAGATACTATTCATAGTAGCTATAAGCACAGTATGTAAAAATTACATGATTCGTTGGTCCACATTCACATTTTTTTTATACAATAAGATTGACTAGTGAGCACACAGTTCACCTGATGGTAAGTGGCTGCTGCGGCCCATAGACATCTACATCTATCCTTGTTTGCGAATCAAAATGCAGATGCATTGTCAGCCGTGAGGACTAAGATGGGATGCCTTTTTTCCAGCAAAAAAGTTCTCCAGTTCTTCTCTACACTCACCATACCAAACACAGCAGCATTAAGCTGCTATTTGATGTTGGTATTCTCTGAGAGCATAGTCCTCCCCGGTTGAGCCAACCCATTCGTGCTACTGTTATACAATTAATATAGCTGCATCATGGCTCTACCACGTAAGTGATATATATGCTATTGATACTAAATAAGCCATCCTGATGACAGTTTAGTCAATCCATTGTCACCTCTGAGAATATTTGAACTAATTAGCATTATTTATATTAATTGTTGATCATTGCTTACATAAATTAAGTATTGATTTGTTTAAGCTACGTATTAATTATCTCCATACCTGTCTCTTTCGTTTGTTATCTAATGAAGAGAGAGAGAGAGTGCAACGTAAATCATTTCTAAAATTGATGTTGATTTTATGAGTAAGGCTGAATGTGTGTACTAAGTGTAATTATATGAAGTTAATGACTTGTAATAGGAACTTAGACATTGAATAATGATGAAATATTTAATTTGTATTCTCATGCAAAACCTAAAAAGCAATGTGTTTTTGACATGACAATTGTTACTATTAATTTGTATTACAATACAGTTAACCATTATTCATGATTTACTTTAATTTAAAATAAAAACAATTGTTGATTGGATATTACACACAAATATTGCATAGAGCAATGAACAGATCTGGAACAGTTATTAGTTGGTCATATAAATCTAATAGCTGCCCTATGCATCTGCAGAGGGATGTAACCAAAAGCTTTAGCCACTGTGCAACCAATCCATCTATTAATTTCATTCTGCTAAAATATTTCTCAGTTGTAGCAGTAATTTTTTTTTAATAACTTAAATAATTAATGTGCAAATGTATTTTTGTTTGACTGTGAAAGCACACTTTTTGGATTTAATATTGTTTAGGTTCACTTGGTTAGTGGTCTATAAGCTTCCTAGATGAAAATGGAAGTCTACCAGATAATATGTATTGTAATGAAACCAAAGTTTTAATGTGTGACGAATATAAGTTCTATTTCTGGACCAGGGATATTATGGATTCCGTAACATAATCACTACAAGAATTTTAACATATATCACATTTGACGTTGCCTTTCGTTGGTGTGTTCCCACTATTTATCACAGATCCTAAGAAAATGTTTTTTACAACACCCACTGAATGAGATGGTTCACCTTCTCTGTCAAATTATAATATCCATTCCTCGTTGTTTGTAGGAGCAGAATCTAAGCGATTACCAGATTTCCTGCCCGTGCACCCTGGACGCACATCACCAGAGCCCGAGCATCAGGATGAACAGTTACAGCAAATAATGTCAGAGTTGGAAAGGACAAGGTATTTTTTCAACTTTGTAAAGCAAACCTTAATGATTTGTTTTAGTGAACATCATAAATCCTTTTTACAAACTATAACTTAAAATTTTTCTTTCATCATTATGGTATCATAGAATGGGTAGAGAAATTAGAATTTGTAATGTTATCTGTATACATATTAACATCAACTAGCGAAGAGGAGGAACTAAGCAAAACAAAAACGAGAAAGGGGATTTACAAGAACTTTTGAAATTTGAATAGTTGAGAATAAATGTGATGTACAGATCGGAGTTGTTCGCGGAGCGTAGTAGGCGATGTCGTGCCGAGGAAGAGACATCGCGACTGCGCGCGCGCCTCGCCGCCAGGGAGCGGGACCCCGCGCTTGAAGCACACGTGAGTGCTCTCATCGTCATTATAATCGTCCTCCTCCTCCGTACTGAGACACCTGCATATCTTACCATGAGCATATCTAATGAAAAGTTTGTGGGTTCGTCTGTCTGTCAATCGTCTACTGTCATGAACCATTCACTAACAAGTATTTTCTGCTTACCAGTAGTGGTTAAAGGAAATATTAGTAAAGTTAGTTGAAGTAGATGGCACTATTACAAAGCAACTTTGCTCGAAAGAAAAGATTCTTTTGATTTATTATACTATTATTGGCTCATGTCTACTTCTCTAAATTTTGTTACATTTATTTGCTATAAAATCGAACTTTTCTCTTAAATTTTATGCCACCCTTGTGGTTCGAAAGTTTAAAATCTATACTGAATATATATATGGATCAATTGATGTATATATATATATATATATATATATATATATATATATATATATATAGAGCTCTGCTGCAGCTTTATTAATAGTATAGTTGTAGCACGTATGAATTGGTTCGACTGGGGAAGGACTATGCTCAACAGAATACTAGCGTAAAATAGAACCTCAATGCTACTGTATTTGGTATGGTGAGTGTAGAGAACGGAGAACCTTTTTACTGTAAAAGAGGTATCCCACCATAGTCCTCACGGCTGACAACGCATCTGCATTTTGATTCGCAAACTAGGATAGATGTAGATGTCTATGGGCTGCAGCAGCCACTTAACATCAGCTGGTCTGTGTGCTTGTTTGTCAACCTTATCTTATACAAAAACAACCTTCTAGACTTATTTTGTGACTCACATAATATCGTCTACTATATATTGTACATCATCATCATCATTACAGCCTTTCATAAGTCCACTGCTGAACATAGCCCTCCCCTAAGGAATGCCACAAAGCACGGTCCTGAGCCACCTGCATCCATCGACTTCCTGCATGTCTTACCAGGTCGTCACTCCATCTCGTAGGGGGTCGCCCTACACTTCGCCTACCGGTACGAGTCTGCCACTCAAGAACCTTTCTTCCGCATCGGTTGTCGGTTCTTCGAGCTATATGGCAGGCCCACTGCCACTTCAGCTTATTAATCCGTTGGGCTATGTCGGTTACTCTAGTTCTACTGCGGATATCCTCATTTCTAAGTTTATCACGCAGAGAAACCCCGAGCATAGCCTTCTCCATAGCTCGCTGAGCGACCTTGAGCTTCCTCCTACGGCCAACAGTGAAGAACCACGTCTCAGATCTGTAAGTCATCACTGGCAACACGCACTGGTTGTACAATTTCGTTTTAAGGTTTTGAGGTATGTCTGACGAGAAGATGTGACGTAGTTTCCCGAACGCTGCCCAGCCGAGTTGAATCCGTCGATTGACCTCTCGGTCGAAGTTGGACTTACCTAGTCGGACTATTTGTCCCAGGTAAACATACTCGTCAACAACTTCGAGCTTAGTGCTCCCAACAACTACCGGCATAGGTGTACATGGACATTAAACATGATCTTTGTTTTGTCCATGTTCATCTTAAGACCTATCCGTTGGGAGACACTATTGAGGTCATTGAGCATGGTGCTTAGGTCCTCTAGCGATTCTGCCATAAGGACTATATTGTCGGTAAATCGAAGGTGAGTGATGTACTCGCTATTGATGTTAATGCCGTATCCTTTCCAGTCCAGAAGCTTGAAAACGTCTTCCAATGCAGCGGTGAAGAGTTTCGGGGATATAACATCACCCTGTCTTACACCTCTCTGCAATTGGATAGGTTTCGTACTCTGTTTCTGTACTCGGATAGCCATCGTAGCTCTACTGTACAAGCACTTCAGCACTTCGATATACCGACAGTCAACTTGGCACCGCTGAAGGGACTGCAGTACCGCCCAAATTTCGACGGAATCAAAGGCTTTCTCATAGTCCATATACGCCAGACATAGTGGCAAATTGTACTCCTCGGACTTCTGTACAAGTTGCCGAAGGGTATGTATGTGGTCTATAGTGCTAAATCCCTTTCGGAAACCGGCTTGTTCGGGAGACTGGAAGTCGTCAAGTATGCGCGCGAGACGATTCGTAAAGACTCGAAAACAGCACGTAGACGCGGCTCAGAAGGGAAATCGGTCTGGTTCTTCAAGAGAGCGTTGTCACCTTTCTTGAAGAACAAGACTACCGCACTTCTGCTCCACGCCTCCAGTGTAATGCCACCATGGAGGTCGGAATTAAACAGCTTCTGAAGGACTTCAAGTACCGGTTTTCCACCCGCTTTCAGAAGCTCCGCTGTAATTATATCCTCGCCTGGGGCCTTGCCGTTTTTAAGGTGCTGGAGAGCCATTCTAATCTCGCTCCGACTGACGTCCGGGATATCTTCGGAATAGTGTCGGATAAGACTCGCTCTTGGATCGTTACTCACACTTGCGTATGGCTCCAACGATGACGTGTACAGCTGCCCATAGAACCTCTCAATCTCACTCAAAATCTCAGGTGCCCCGGAAACGATGCTGCCACACTCGGTCTTCAGCCTTGACAATTGGCTCTTTCTGGCAGACAGATCTCTGGCAAAGACCTTGGAGCCTTGGTTCCGCTCGATCGCTTCTTCAATACAAGCTGTATTGAAGTTGCGTAAGTCCCGCCGCATGCATTTGGAGATCTGTCTGTTCAGTTGCCCGTATGCTGTGAAATCTGTTGAAGAATGTATCTTCATCTCCCGCCTAACAGCCATGAGATTAAGAGTGTGATCGGAGAGTTTTTGTGTTCTTCTGCGGCGGGTCTTGCAGAACTTAGCTCCGACCGCATGGACAGTTTCCACGAGCTTGTCATTCATATCGTCCACATCATTGCAGTCTTCTAGGCACTGAAAACGGTTTTGTAACTCGAGCTGAAAGGTTTCGGGACTTTGGAACAGAGCACGAGGGGGATGGAGCGTTGACTTCATTAGACGAGACCTCTCCAACTTAACGTTTAGGTTCAGTGTGCACCTAAACATTCGGTGATCGCTACCAGTTTTCCTCTCGCTATTACGGAGACATCATTGAACAGTTGTCGTCTGGTCGTCATAATGAAGTCATTCTCATTTTTTGTCGAACTGTCGGGGCTCGACCAGGTCCACTTCCTGTGAGGCCGCTTCTGGAAGAAAGAGTTCTTCATAAAGAGTCCCTCTTTCTCTATGAAGTCGGCCAGCTGCTGGCCCCTTGGGTTCCGTTGCCCTATTCCAAATTTCCCTACTTTCAGCTCACCGTTCTCTCTTGTGCCTACTTTTGCATTGAAGTTTCCCATTACCGTTTGGTGATTCTGAGTATAAGGTACGCAACTCTCGTCGACACACTCTCAATCTTTACAACGTTGTTAACGAGAGACTTGTGGACGATAAATCCGATACCTCCTTGGGACAGATGGTCACCCTCCCGGTGATAGAGCAAGTTGCCGGATTCGAGGATTACCGTGTCGTCCCCCTCTCTTCGGACTTCGAAAAATCCTATAATATGCAAGCGTAACTTGTCTATCTCTTCGTCCAGCTCCAGGATCTTCTCGTCAGTCCTCAGGGTGCGTGCGTTGTATGTTGCCAGGTCGAGTCGTCTTAGGTGGCAACCGAACTTCCACCGGAGATTCTTAGCACCCCCTGCCCAGCCGTTACCATGGTCGCCACCGTAGCCAGGAATAGCGGGGCCGCTGGGGACTGGGGGTCGTCTCTTTGTTACATTCATAGGGGCGTATTTGCCATAGTTTTCACGCTTGGCGAGCGGGTTGGCAACCGCAGTTTTTTTTAAATTGTATTTTTGCTGTTATCAGGAAGATGCTGCTGCCCATCTCCTGCCTGTTTCCCTTTGTCGCCTTTTACGACACCCACGGGAAGATATGGGGTAGTGGATATTCTTAACCGCCACTACACGGCACTACTAATATATTGTACATTTTAACAAAAATAGTTACTAGTTTTAAATAAATTAGTTCAGTAGAAATCATCTGATGCAATTTATGTAACGGTTGTTTCTCAGGAATTTGTGTCAGATGTCCTGATCATAAGCTAGTATCCAATTCAAATGCTTATCTTAATATTTTCAGACTGGGACGGCAGATCCTGAAGCTGTTGCAATATTAAAAAATGAAATAAAGAGATTGAAGGTGAGTATTGACATACTCTTGAATCCTTTATCATTTCTTTACCAGCTTTTTTGTTTGACTTCCTCATCAGCCCTTAAAGATCCACAGCTGGGCATTGGTCTCTTCTATTGAGGAGGATTTTGCGTAATCGCCACGCTTCGCTTGCAGACTAGCAGTTGCATTATCAAACATATCGCACCTTTGTCGATGCTTGTTTATGCATATATACTATGTTATTTTTTACTATTTTACTATAACATAACAGATGACAATACTGTTCGCCTAATGATGTCTTCCTGATATATTCCATAGTTTACATCACCTTAGATGCCTGAGTGGATTAAGTAGCAGGATGGATTCCCTTAGGCCGTAATCATTTTTTTACCTCTTCCTCCCGGACCTCGGTTGCGAGCAGACGTGTTCAGTGTAGATGTATTTCTTGTTTAAATAAAAATTTAATTCAATATTTAATTAAGTGCAAATAATAGGAGTGCATAATCTGTAAGAGCTTCAAGCACCAGGAGCGCCGTGCAAAATACCGTTCTCGATCCTAAGAGCGCCTTACAGTGACTCACCTGTCGATCATCGCTAAGCGCCGCCCTTTTGTTGCGGCCCACTCCAACATACCGGTTAGTGACTACTGTTGCTAAATTACCTGTTCTCCTGGTACCTTACGTTTCACTCGCAGACGAATAGTGCAACTGTCGTAATTAAACAGAAGTAATTTGTATCAACATCTACCGCCTTTATAAAAAAAAACATGCCGCTAAAGCGTACTCCTCCAAGGGATTTGCAAACATCAAATTGTGAGTCGGATTCAAGCACAAAAGGTTCCACTGAAAATGTCGCTAGTAGAAATAAGCGGAAACGGGAACATGGTGATTGTAGTGAAGAACTCAAAGCTTTTAAATCTGAGCTCCTGGGCTTATACAATTCAAAATTTACCAGTCTTCAGTCTGTTATAAATGACATTAGGGAGCAAAATACCGATGTACGCAAGTCTCAGGACCTTATGTCTGAAAAGTATATGAAATAATACTTAAAATAGAAAAACTGGAGTCTGAAAGAAATAAGAATCTTATGTACATTCAATCCCTCGAGACTAAATTGGAAAATATGGAAAGACACCTCCGGGCAGCCTGTCTGGAAATTAAAAATATTCCGAAACAACAAGGGGAATCAAAGGAAGACTTAGTTAATTATGTAATAAAACTTGCTCAGTTGCTCAAATTATCTGTACAACCTTCAGATATACGGGATATCTTTCGACAAGCAATAAGAATAAACAAAACACTTTAATAGTAGAGTTCAGCTCTGTCCTACAAAAAGAGACTATGTTGCAAGGTCTCAAGAAATTCAACAAGGAGAGAAAAGATAATAAATTAAATTCATCACATATACAAATTGCAGGCACTCCAATACCTATCTATGTTTCCGAAAACTTGACACAAAAGGTGCAAAAATTATTCTTCTTGGCCCGAGACTTTGCCAAGACCAACGGTTTTGCTTACTGTTGGACGACCCGTGGTAAGGTCTATTTACGTAAAGCTGATGGTGCTAACTATATACGACTAGATGGTGAAGAAGATCTGATGAAGCTGCAACGACAGAAATGACTATACTGTAACGTGTTTTGCAACGTAACTTCTACTTTTTTCTTAATTTATATTGTTTTGCTTATAATAATTTACCTTTTCTATTATTTCTCTAACGAATTTGTAATATTTTTTGTAAAAGTAAGTAAATTGTTTTCTGTACAAACACACAATACACTAACTCACTTATGTTACCTACAATCATTCATACCTCACTTTCACATACAGACTCAGTTAATACATCATTCAATTACGAGATATACATACTTTACTACATATCGAAAATATACACATTTCAAAGTTATCTTACCTACAAAACTATGATTGAGCATATTTATTTTCATGAACTTTTAATGGTTATCATTTCATCATTTCATATATATATATATATATATATACTTACCTTTCACGGTAAATGTTGCTCCAGTGAGAAGTTAGAACAAATATTGATCCACCTATTTTACGTATATACTCAGCTCTGCGTCGCGCAAAATAATATACTTTGATCAATCCTTGATGCGCGTGTGACGTCGGTGGATCTGTGGTTACTAATTTTCAACATACTCGTCAGCGATTTGACCAATATTTGTTGGTCCATCAACGGTCGAAAAAATCATACTGAATACGATTTCTTACATCCAGAATATATTTAACTTATATGCGACATTTACCTAAGCTAAGTGGATCCAGAGCCTAAACTGACATATAGGTACGCAAACACAAAGCGGCAACGTCGCGTTCTGCGTGTGACAGAGAACTATTTCGTTAGAGTAAGAAGGTAAGAAATATGCGTTAGCTGATTTGAGGATCAAACTGGCAAATTTGATTGCGGCAAGACGTTTGCGCGGGTTTTTGTTATTGTGTGAGTGGAGTAAATTTTCCAATCAGAAGATGATGGTGAGTATTTTATTATCTATATTTGATTATCTATTTAGAAACTCGATATTATGTAGCTATTATATTAATGAGTTAATCCGGATGTGAGCCCGGCTCAAATGAAGGGGGGCGGAGTAAAGACCGCCTCAGTGGAAACGCACCCCCTCATCCATGATCGACACGTATGATAATAAATAGGTATTCACATAATAATACCTAAGGACTTACCTAACTACCTAGTACCTACCTACCTACCTACCAGTTTTTTACCACCAAAAGAGTTGTGATTGTGTTTAGGTAGGTTAAATAACTGTGCAGCCTGCCAGAAGCCGAATCAGAATAATAAAAGTAGATAACCAATAAGTATTTAACTGACCTTTTCGCTCTGTGGTTAGTAGCTCTGGATGCGGATCCTGAGGTCGTGGGTTCGATGTCCAAACATGCCAAACATTTGTGTGACGAACACTGATGTTTGCTCTGTGTCTAGGTGTTAAATAACTACCTACTTATCTATGTATTTCTCAGGCCTCCATACCTAGTACAGTAGGTTTCACAGAACACTAAGGGAGATCAGGGACTACTTATGTGTGAAATGTCCAGGATATTTATTTATTTTATTTAAGTACGTAAAAAGACTAAACATAGGTACCATATTTACAAAATTTCAGAAGTTTTGTTTAATGACGTAGCAGCATAAGATGGCGTCTTTGTCCGTCTTTCTGTCCGTCCGTCCGTCTGCCTGTCAAGACCCTTTATCTCGGGAAAGCGTGTAGGTATCGAATTAGAATAAAAATCATATACTCAGGTTTACTTACGGCCGTGCATGTTGGTTTTATATGTAAAAATTAATTATAGGGTGGGTGCCCCTAATCCCAGCTATGCCCCTAATTCCAGCTTTTTCGCCTTTTTACTTCGTAAATAAGATTTCTAGTAGTCTTAACTATAAATATTGTCACCTAAAAAATTCTCCGTAATTACATAAAGACTTTTTTAAGTTGTAGCACGAATGGGTCGGCTCGACCGGGGAAGGACCACGCTCTCACAGAATACCAGCGTAAAATAGCAGCTTAACGCTGCTGTGTTTCGTATGGTGAGTGTAGAGAACCGGAGACCCTTTTTACTGGAAATGAGGCATTCCATCTTAGTCCTCACGGGTGACAACGCATCTTTATTTTGTTTGATGTAGACGTCTATGGGCCGCAGCAACCAATTACCATGAGAAGGATTGTGTGCTCGTTTGTCACCCTTATCCTATAAAAAAATTGTTTGAACGTATAAAACTTAATTTCCATCTTATGAACATAAGCCCCTAGTATTTATGGTCGCATCAAATTTAGACAACAAAAGAACAAGTAATTAAGCGCTTTTACATATTTCATTACACAAGGTTGTGTAATTTGTAAAATTATAATTTCGTTCGTCTTATGAATTTTAATTATCACTGATTAGGAAGGACTTCGGCGTGCCTTGCAATCAATGCGTTGCCGTGAGAACTATAATGTACATATTACAATATCTGAAGAGTTACAACATGTTTCGAATTTCTTCTTGTCTCCGTTATTACCTGGTTTTTTCGAGTCATCGTTGCCACTCCAATCAATGCATTGTTCGGCGGCGACTTTGTAAGGCATAGATATATGCCCTACAAAGAAAACTATATGGTAACCCATCAGACAACATTTTGGACTGTTATAGACTATTTTTGTAAATTTATACGAAACTATGTCATAGGCTGATTATAGTATTTGTTAATAACTGAACTAATTTACTGTATTCCTCAATTTAAAAAAAAAAAAAATAGTATAATGTAGAAGTATTTCGTCTTTTGGACGTTAACATTAAATGGTATGAGATATTAAGAAAGAATTACTTAGAAATGGATTTCGAATAATTTGGCATCATTGATGTTTATATAAGTGCTAAATTATGAGAAGTAAAATCAATTAAAGTAAGTTTTAAAAAAAATATTAATCAATCAACCTATGGGGAAGCCCGGAGTAAGTTGCAAGATTAAATTAATTGGCATCTTTCGTTTGCAATGTGCAAACGAAAGATGCCAATGCATGCCAATGCATGTCTTAGCACTGATTACAGAAGCTGTTCTGTGGAAGTTATTTTATTCGGTTTTTAATCTTTACTAAACGTTAATGTTTTGCTCTTTTAAATGTTTTAAGTAAAAGTTACAGCCTATATACGCATACGTCCCACTGCTGGGCACAGGCCTCCTCTTATTTCTGAGAGGATTTTAGGGCTAGGAAATGTCCGCCGCGCTGCCCCAATACGTGTTCGAAATATTTTTTCTTATTTCTCAGACATGCAGGTTTCCTCAACATGTTTTCCTTCACCGCCGAGCACGTGGTAAATCAGCACTCACAATTGCAATTAAAATTTTAATTGGCGCCGGCGGAGAACGAACCCGGGTTGCTCGCGTACTGTGAAATTTACAGCGAGCGCTTAGCCCCTGAGCTACAACGGCTTTGTGGTTTAAATAATACCTTAAATCTTTAAATTTAGAAAAACCCTTGAAATATATTCCATTTAAAATAAAAA